TCCCACTGAGTGGGATTTTGTTTTGTTCATCATTGGGGAGCCACATGCAGGTAGTATTGCTTTTGAGTTTGAGGTTAATGCAGCACTGTTGGCTGAATAAAAGGGCTGGAGCAGCCAACTGAATTGCCCCTGTTAGTGGTTTTCTGCTGTCTGTGCCGGGAACAGCCCCCCTCCCCACCCAGACCTTCTCAGGTGAGATGTTCCATTTTCCAATTCCTGAGCAACTTGCTGAGCAAGTAGCAACACTGTAGTAATGTCACTTGCTAAAGGAGTGGCCTGTATCCTATGTTTTCCCTGAAGTCTGTTTAGGAATTTTATGGGTTTTCCATCCTCTTCTGCTGATTCTGTATTATACTTCATTCAAAAAGGCAGAAGCACTTCTTATAACTTCTACAACTTGCTGTAGGCTAAATAGGTGGCTATGAATGCTTTGGATTTTGTGACATCACAAAACAGTTTCTATGTATGAATCACATACAGTGAATGGCAAATTTTATAACTTGTGCAATAAAAAAATTATTAGACTAAAAAAAAGGGGATTTTTTATGTTATGGGCACTTTAAAAGAAGCACATGATGCCTAACTGTTTTTCAAGAGCAGATGCTGGGACATATTTGCCTGTCTGGGGCTCTCTCAGATACCTGCCCCTTAGGGGAGGGGCTTCAAGAGGTTTTGGTGAGGCAGTTCATTTAAAGAGAGTTTACAATCAAACCTGAAGCGATTTCTTTTTGGGCAGAGCGAGAGAGGAGCATGATTGACAGCATTGCAGTCAGGCTGTGGGGCACACCTGCGGTTGCTATGCAGGCTGAGTGCGAGTGTGTGCTATATCTGAGAGGAGTGATGGTAACCCAGGGCGACCAAGACTGCTGCTGCCCCTCCGTTGCTACATACTGCAGAACGGAGGAAAGCATATTAGACAGAAAACAAAGAAGGGATACGGATGCAGGGTGATATCATGTCAGCATAGGCAGATTGCTGATTGTAGGCGATCAGCAGTCCATCTACAGCAAATGTACGGGCTCAGTATTAGGATCGGGATGTACGGGATCAGTATTTTAGTGCTGATGCAGTACATGAATTAGACCCTGTTCTGACTGAGTCATGTTTTTTTTTTTTTTTGGTATAGGCATAACTAAGCCAAATGTATAATAAACCTAAAGTATTGGGCTCCCGAGTGGTGCAACTGTCTGAGCATTGGAGATCTCCCATCACACAGCGCATGTGTCTGTTAGCTGATGTAACAGAACTGGTGGTTGGCATTTTCCTCCGTGTGTTGACCTGTCCAATGACGTTGCATTGGCGACAAGTCGAAAAAGACGTGGTGGCTCACTTGACAGGTCTCAGAGGAAGACTGTGCTAGCTTTCGCCTTCATAGCGCTGGAGTGGGGGAGTCCTACCTAGTGGATGGAATTGGATACATCCAAACGGGGTCTGAAAATCGGGGAAAAAAACTATCTGAACTTTGGTCAGAGCATGGCTGTCCTCCATGGGTTGACGAGAGACTGCGAGTATTACCCTTTTGTTTTCTCTCCCATAGTGAGCTGCTAGCTGGCTGCTACTGCATAGGCTACAGCTACACACTAATACTAGTTGTTTGCTGAGTGTTTAGGTGTTTTTTGCCATGTTTGTTTCCTCTGCATGTATTCAGCAGCTGTTACCTCATAGGTGCTGTTAACCCTCTATAGGGACAGTTAACCTCACAGCAGGCAAGCTTTTGGGCCACGTTGATTTCTGACCCGAAGGCTGTCTCTACAATAACCCAAGGGTACAGACTGCAATTTTGCCACTGGCCCCCAGGGGATATGGGCATGAGATGGACAAATGTCTCAGACCCTCAGAAAGCAGCAGCTCTGTCCTTGGAAGCAAGTTCCCTTCTAAGCAGAGATGCGATGGAGGAAATAGATCCCCTCGTTCCTAAAGGGGGCTTTTATTCTGTTTTTATCTGTTTTCTGGTTCCAAAAAAAGACAGCTTCGACTCCATCCAGTCTGATGTAGACACACTTTGATCAGAATTACCCATCAGTGTATATGTGCCCTAAAACCATAGAGAAGTCTGGACTTTCTCACCAGTGCTGTACATCTGGGTATGATTCCATCATGCAGAGAGGTGATCACCACAGGTGCTTCCTGCATAGGTTGGGGTGGGGTCTGGAACAAGCACAGCATAAGCAGGAGATGGGCCAGTGCTTGCCAGTAGGATCACATCAATGAGCTCGATTTAAGAGCTGTTCTCTTGACCATGAAATGCTTTGTGTTGCCCCTACAGGGCAGACATGTTCTTGTTCAACTTGACAATATATCAACAGCGTTCCACATCAACAGTTTAGGGAGCAGAAAATCGATAGCATCTTTCTGGCTGGCCCACCAGCTGTTAACTTTGGCGTATTCCAGGTTAGCTTTGCTCCGTGGGGTTCACCTACAGTCAAACTGGCGGATGCACTTTCCCACCATCAGATTTCTCAGGGAGATCAAATCCTTAGGTAGTTTAGATGATATGAGACACGTATGGGCTCGAGGTGGGCTTGTTCACAGATGCTCGTTTAAAAAACTCTCTGGTTTGCCCAAACAAGGCTTCCACAGTGCTTGTACCGCTGGTAGAACGGAGTGCTGGTTTCTTATGTAACCATGGTTCTGTGACTGTGGAAGATGGCCATGTTTGCATGTTGCTCAGAACTCGCGAGAATTTGGGTTGTGAGGAAGATGTGATGTGGATAGAGGCTGATATAGTAGTCAGACATCACACATCATATGTCTTTGACAGTGATGGTGTAATATCTTGTAAGACAATTATTCACTTTGCTTGCACTGTCACTGGTGGTTCTACACAGTCACAGATCCACGGTTATATACATAATCAGTGTTACCTTCTGCTTCAGCTGCTTAGAGTACAACGTATTAGACAAACTCTAATACTCATTATCAATTGATTTTCAAGTATTATAAACTGCTGGTAGCAAAATACTCTTATCAGTCTGAATAATAAAGATCATTTCAACATAATAAGACATTTATGATATGAGTAGCATGTATGATTTTCTCTTGAAATTACTTTGTAGCTAGTAAGTGTAGTAACTAAAACTAAACTAAAAATTTTCTTCAAATTGTTTTGATCACAGTGTTTCTCAGAGTTTAATTAAATCAGTTAAATGATTACACTGTGTAAAAGGTAGCAGTGCAGACGAGGAGAAATAGAGCAGGGATCTTGGGCAGTGATTGAAAGAGGCACATGAGATGAGAGGGGTGGGAAGCACTGATGGAGTGAGATTAAGTAAGCAGAGAGGAGGAAGAGAGGAGAGAGCACATAATGGATGGAGTGATGAAGGGAGAAGTGCAGGAAGTGGAAGGGGAGTGAACGTATAGGCGGGAGACAAGGAAGGGCAGGCAGACATTTAGCCTCCAGGCCAAACACTACTGACTCCAGGACATATAAACAGTGTGTGTGTGTGTGTGTGTGTGTGTATGTGTGTGTGTGTGTGTGTGTGTATTGTAAGTGTGTGTGAAAGAGAAACTACATATAAAAGATAGATGGCTATATATGATAGTGGAATATGTGTATATAACAAATTTGCAAAAAATACGTTAATCTGTGCGTGTATGTGTGTGTGTATGTGTGTGTGTGTGTGTGTGTGTGTGTGTGAGTAAGAGAAAGAAAGAGAGAGTGGAGAATTAGAATGCTCAATTGCATCTTCAGTATCGGTTCCTGGATGCTGGTATGCATTCTTTATGCAGTGCTTGAAATTACTCATTTATTGATCTTTAATGGGAAAATTGAAATCTATACATGTATTATGATACAGTCCAGACTGAAAAAGCCTGTGTGTGCTTTTTTTTTTTAAAGAGAGATGGAACGGGAGTGTTCTGTAGTTGTGTGCTTAAGTGTGTTACTTTGACCTCAGACAAATATACACTGCATCCAAAAGAATCCAGATACTAGGGCTGAATGATTTGGGGAAAATATCTAATTGCGTTTTTTTTTTTGTTTTTTACTAGTATTGCATCTTCCATGGCAACATCAAAGATTTTCTACATTATGTTCTATAAATCAGTGTTCAGGACCACAGTGTGCGCTTTTTCTGGCTTGAGGCTTGAACCGTGAATACAGTGTTCCAGACCGCCAGTAAGTTGTGGTTTTGATTAGCAAACCAGCTTTAGGGTGCATCCATTGCTGATCAACGTGCAAGACGCCGTCCCTGCAAGAATCTTGTGTCAACTTTTGACAGTGTCACCTATTTTTGTTACCCTGATCCTCACTGATGCTCTTGTTGCTGACTGCAATCAAATCGGCACAGCAGAGTTACAACTAGCATACACCCTTCCCAGAAGAGTAAAGGCTGTTCCTGCAATAAATGCCCTTGACTTCAGAAGAAGTGTTGGATAAGCAGGTGTCTACAAACTTTTGGACGTAGAGCATAGATTGTTCCTCCTGCATCTGTATTCTTTGTCCTAGCAGATTTGTTAAGTTGCCAGTTGGCTGCTTTGGCCAGCTTCTTCTCAGTTCAGCCAAGCCTATGGTTCTTTGTAATCTCATCACATTCCACTGACATCTCATGCTGCTTGTATTGTGCCATTTTGGAAGGTGGTGTGACCTTTTTACTGATGAGTTGCAAAGAGTGTAGGGATCTGGACATCCATGATTCAGATTTCCACTATGTAGCAAGAATGTCATCTTCAAGAATGAATGTCATCTTTTATTTGTTCTTTCATTTTACTATCAGTAAACCAACAAAGACTAAAGAAAGAGATGAGTGCTTTAAACGTTGGTGGCACTGAAGGCACAGAGACATGAAAAAACATCTATTGGGATGTATTTTATCTTTGAGCCATGCTGAGATTTATGCAATTCAGAAATTACTGCATGGGCATAAGCTACTAAAAGTCAAAGACATCAACAATGCACGTTATTATTAACCACGTTGTCCCCAGTGCTTATAAAGGGCTACAGAAACATGAGAATAAACATGCTGACCTCTTTCTGTCTTACACCTTGTCTGTTCTTTCAGTGGACCCTCGGCCTCTCTACCGTGAGGAGGCCATCTTCATCGCCCTGGCGTCTGTTTCCATAGTAGCTGTTCTCATCGTGGCACTCTTTTTCGGCTACCGCATGCTGACAGGTGAGATACAGTAGCAGCTAGATGGAAGTTTACCCTAATGCTATTGAAATGGTGATCTGACCTCTTTGTGTGTTACCGTAGGAGACCGTAAGCAGGGCCTGCACAATATGGACATGATGGAGGCAGCAGCGTCTGAGCCCTCTCTCGATCTGGATAGCCTGAAACTGTTGGAGGTGAGTTTTTCTCCACTTTAATGGCTGATCTCCTCTTAGCTTTCCACCTACTCTCCACTGTGCCAGAGCGTATGTAGCAAAAACTCCTCTTTTATTGTGGCATAACTTGAATTAATACATTATTCAATATTATTTCAAAAATACTGGATATTGGCATCAGCAAACAATTGCCCTATTGGAGCAACCCATCCTTGAGTGTTGTCAACAGTTTTTGGACTGAAAATGAAATTTGCAGACGAATAACTTATTTTTAATTTACTGCCTTTGAAAAGGAATTGTCAGAGCATATAAATGCTGTTCAGTAAAATGTCAAAGTATGATTTTGTAATCCAAAAAAATGTTGCTAACTTTCAAAGGGCTTGAAAACCTTCACTAGCGAGACCTGACTGCCTAATTTTTTCCTTTCTTTGCAGCTGATTGGCCGAGGACGCTATGGCTCTGTGTACAAGGGCTCACTGGATGAACGTCCAGTGGCAGTAAAAGTCTTCAGTTATGCAAACCGACAGAACTTTATCAACGAACGTGCAATTTACCGAATCCCCCTGCTGGAGCACGACAACATAGCACACTTTATCGTGGGAGACGAGCGACTGACAACAGACGGGCGGATGGAGTACCTGCTGGTGATGGAGTACTACCCACATGTGAGTACTGATCCAGCAACAGCTTCATTTACTCTAATACTGGTTTTATCTAGAGGGGACTGGTCTCCTGTCAGTGTTCAGGGGTACCTGCAACCCATTATTGCAGATACTTGCTATGTTCTTACTGGTCTCTGTAGACCAGTGTAGAATTCCCTTGCTTACCTTCAACTGCCCTTATATCTCTGCTATCCTTTTTATCGGCCTCTCGTACTATTTTAGTCAAAGACGAGTGAGGAGTCAAATGTCTTGCCGGTTACAAAACTATCTGGGTAGATATTTTTATCGATGATTCAGATGCAGCCACTATGAGAAGGTTGTGTTGAATGTCAGCTTATTGTCTCTCTCCCTCTCTTACTGTCTCTCTCTCTCTGTCTCTCTCTCTCACTCTTTTTCTTTCTTCCTCTCACACACTACAGCCTCTCTTTCTCTTTGTTTTCAGTCTACCCAACTCACATTATCACCCATATATCATTACTATGTGTATATATATATATATATATATATATACATACACACACCCACACCCACATACACACATATATATCGTTACCTTGCCACAACAGGTTAGTGTTAGATGAATGTACTTGCACACCTGCACACAGACAACAACAAGAAATAGCTGTGGCTCAACTCCTATGTAGGAAGCACCACATTCTTTCACATGCCTGTGTAACATGTTACAACAGGCACACCTGTCTAGCATGTGCATGTGACTCGGAGGAATGAACGCCTCTTCTGTTGTGTCTCTAAACAGACAGACATTACTCTGCTCACACACTGTCTTGTTTGTTCTTGTTCCACTCCACTGCTAATTATTTACCCTGGATGGAAATACATTAGCTGCTGTAAGCTTGGGGACTTAGCGGGGGGAGGGGTGACTTAAAGGCAAATGTTTGCATTTCCTCTTAGACACAATAACAACTACCCTTAGGCTGATTGAGATGATTCTAAAGACTCCCTAATGGGCTCAGGTTTTGTGTTCTCTCCATGAAATACCATTCTGCTAGTTCAGAATCGGCTGCTGGGGTAACTTTCATGCCAGTCACTATGGCAACAGGGAGGTTGTGGCAGGGCTGGGATTCAAACTTTTTTGGTACATATTCAGGTTAATAACACTTTACTGCCCTAGAGCCTGAGGTTTTATTTTTCCATTTATAAACATACAAATATATATGGATATTTTATATATTTTAGGGTGGAGATGCCTGGTCACATCACAATTCATTTCAATTTTGATTCAGGGCATCAAGGTGCTATTTATAAAATGATTCCTGATCTTCATGTGTTAAGATTTTTCTTGTCTCTGGCGTATTTGTCATTATGTCATTAATAGCAGTGTTTACTGTGGTTTCGGGCCTTTTGTTATGTGTACACTAATAATGACCAATTTCTGTCTGTAAACTTTATGTACTTTAGTGAGATCCAGCAATTTACCCTCCTCCAAGCTGGGCTGTTCTGTGTGTATGAATTAATGTCCGATTATGATGTTATTATCTTTATTATGATCTTATCATCTCATTATCTAAGACTGTTGTTTTTTAGTTTGTTTATTGTTGTTTTTTCTTTAACACTGCAATGCGTTAATGTCATAAGATTAGATTTTGTGAGTGCTCAGTGTCTGTATTTAAATGTATGACAGACACATGGTACAGCCCTAATGCCTCCTTTATGGCATGAGTGGAAATCGGTTTTGCCCAATATTTAGAGTGGTCTGTAAATATGATGGTGTTCTCGATGATGATAATGAAAAACAGTATCAGGGATATGCCAGAAATGGCTGTTATCACAGTAACAGTAGAGCTGACCTTGTTTCTTTCTTTTACAAATTTTTTCAGCATTTGTAAACTGAGGTTTTGTAAAATGCTTTACAGTGTTAATAGCAATATGAAGAAGACCAAAGACTGTTTGCATGTTGCAGCACCATTTTCATCATATAGGTCATAAATTATGCACTGAAGTGAAATTCCTTTCTGTGATTGCTCTAAACTACCATCAATTTAAAAGATTGTTAGCTTCCCAGGGGTGATTAACCCAGCAGTATGTACAGTATTATGTTATGCAGTAGTGTGAGTAGCTTCACAGTATGACTACATTGATAATTCTAGTGTGCTCATAATTTGATTAGGCCCTTTAGGTAAGAGCTCTCAGAAGAAATATCTCTACAACAAATGGTGCTTCAAGTTTCTTCTTAAGATTGTTGAAGTGAAGGTAACAGTCCTTTAAGATGCAGTCAGGTGTTTTAGCAGTGTAGGTTACAGTGTTGGTGAGTAGGGCGTTCTGTCTCAGCGTAACTGTAAAACATGTGTGTTCAGGGCTCTCTTTGTCGGTACCTCAGTCTGCATGCGCTGGACTGGGTCAGCTGCTGCCGTCTCGCCCACTCAGTCACCAGAGGACTGGCCTACCTGCACACGGAGCTCCTTAGAGGAGGTGAGGGTCACCTTCATGTGCTGTACAGACATATACCCACACACAAACACACACTGAGGGGGAAAAAAAAAACACTTTTAGCCCATATAGTCACACTTTTCAGGCAAAGCAGACACATTTCATTTGGAAAGACTGACAAAGACAGTATTATGTGTTATTATTATTATGTGTGAGAATATGGCAAAATGATGTGGAAATTTTCTCAATAATCATAATGTATCTCAGTATTTAGTTTTTCACATGCAGTTGATCAACTTTCTAGGAATACTGACAATATCTAAAATATGCTCAGAAAAGCTTGTGTCTGTAGCATTTATCAACCTAATCTCTCTGCTTTTGAAGAGAACAGTTGGTTACCACAGACACACATTCTGATACATTTTCCTGAACAGAAAATCCATTACTTGAAACACACTTGAAATAGAAGCCAGTTGCTTCAGGGGAATCACCATAGCATTACTGTATGGACATTAGTCCATAGCAATCAGTCATATACTACAGATGGACAAATAAAGATTTAATTGACAAATACTGACTTTCTTTGAATAAAGACTGAATTATCCATGGGTTTATTTAATTCCATTGCCTGTAAGTGTAGTAAGCTTTAAGGCCCTCTAAGGAGTATCGAACCAGGTCTCATTTGCAAAGGGCAAAAGTCCACCCAGCTGTAAGGCTGCGTCTGTAGCCCAGCTGCTATTCTCTCCTAACCGCACGGGATAAAAAAAGCGGCGTGAATCCACCCATGGGCCGGCCGTCGCTGGGCAGACTGTTTGCGGTGGTGCAGCGGCAAACCGCCCCAGCCACCTCCAGGGCTCACTCTGATGTGCACATCTGGGTCAGACAGCACGTTTTCTGAAATATGAATCAGCGTCTGATTCATTTTTCATGCTGTGTCGTTGTGTTAGACTGAACAGTGGCTTGTTGCCGCCGGGTCCCAGTAGCAGCACAGAGCAGCGTAGAGCACGTAGCATGTGTATGCAGCGGGACTGAGGAAACAGGATGATTAGCCAAGATTTAAAACTAGTGAAAATTTTATCCAGGCAGCCGATGTACATAAAGCATACTGATCACCAGGAATTTGCTCACTGTATGTGAGCGAGAAAGAGAGGAAGAAAAGCAGTAAAAGAATAGTAGTGTGTCTGCAAGGTAACATCTGTTTTCTTGGTTTTTGTTTTTTTTTGTTTTTTTAATTCTTCCAACACAGCCGGTAATGTTAATTTGTCAGAGCTGGACTCCTCAGTCGCCCGATCTTTAAAGAGCCTGCAGCAGGAGCAGTGCAGATAAGATAGGTCTAATTTGTGTGTTTGTGTGCGCTCCTCTTGTTTCTCTGGCTCTGGCACAGTGCCAGAGAGCTGCGGCAGGATCAGGCCTCTGCCTGGCCCTCTCTGTCTCCCTCTCTCTGTCTTCCTCTGTCTCAGCTTCATTAGAGCCTGAAGTTCAGAGCCAGACACACAGAGCTGAGAGCTGGTGGGGGAGGAGTGGCAGAGATGGCATTTATCCCGTAACCACTACACTCTTGCTATCGGGCTGCTGTACTGCCACCTGGTGGCTGTCTGTGTAGTGTGTATCTCCTGGCACTTAAACACTTTGTTTTGGTACATTGCAGTGTTATGTAGAGCAAACCTAATTTGTGAAAATGCCTGCCAGCCATTCTGTGTAGAGCTACTGGCAAATAATAGTGTTTCACACAATTTTCAGCCGCCTTGTTTTGTTCAATAAAACCTTCTCCCCTCGGATATAAAAACACCTTATTCAGTTTTCTGGGTAGAGCTACAGTCTCACTATACTGTCTCACAGCTGTGAGAAAAATATAGTGAACATTTTCAAATGATACAGATTTCAGTATGAAAGCTTACTAAAATATTACCTGAGCAATAATAAAAAATAACACAGTGTTAAATAAGCTACCATGCACAGTATTTTACAGTGCCATATCTATGTTAAACAAGGGCTAAAGGTCATTGATGGAAAATATTTAATTGAGTATGTATTATTTATTATGTTAATTAACTAATGAAATTCCCTTTATTGCAAATACCATCAAGCAAACCCTTTCAGTAGATCTGCTAATCAGTTCTGTGCAGTGGTTAAGGTAGTTTTGCCTATTGTCCTACACAAAACTATTTCGGTTTGTGTAAGTAGAAGGTTTAATGAAGGTACTTTGCTCCAGTAGTTGTGGCAGATCCGAAAGGTGTTAAGCAAAATTGAAACAGGCAAAGCAAAGCACTCTTGTTCAGTGTAGACTTATAAATATGAATGTTACAAAGTGCAAGAGATGCCTGCTGATACTTAGCTCACAAGCTTTTCTTGCAACTGTAGTGATACCATTTCCTTGAAAGCAACGTATGAAATGTATTTCTCTTTATTGCATCAACTCCTTTGGACATACAGTGGCATGTTGCCTCTATATCTTATAACATCACACTAATAAAGTTCTCTGTCCTCCCTATCTCAGATTCATACAAACCTGCGGTGTCACACCGGGACTTAAACAGCAGAAATGTCCTGGTCAAGAATGATGGCACATGTGTGATCAGTGATTTCGGCCTGTCTATGAAACTGACAGGAAACCGCCTTGTCCGCCCTGGAGAGGAGGAGAATGCTGCCATCAGTGAGGTATACCAATTAAAAACTTACAGGTGCAGTTCATCGTTCACAAGCATGCCACACACTCTTATACACCATTCATAGTGAAAATCATTTTTTTATGGTAATTTGAAAACTAGGGATGTCTGGAGCCAATCAAGGCATGTTTTAATGAATCTGTATTGGCTGTGTTAAGCCTGATCAAATTCCATTTTTTTAAAGGCTGTTTACCCCACTGTGCTTAGAAGTGGATAAACAGACATTAGCCACAACTTAACAGTATTTTATGTTTTCAGATGTTAACAAGTGGTTTAAATGCCTGCAGTGTGGAACTGTTTGAAGTGGAAAATTAAAATAGCTCAACAACTGCTTGTAATATCTGAAATGCTAGTGTCTCGACTGTGGTTAAGCTAGCTGCACTTAGCAGTAACAGTATCTTCAAAGGCAAGAAAAGGAGTACACTTCTTTGCTCTTCTTAGAGAAGCTTCAAATATGACAGTAGTGTATTCAAGACACCATGCTATCTGCATACTAACATACCAAAAATCTTTAGACAATTTAAAATTAAAAATGTAAAAAAAAAAGAAGAGTGTTTCACATTACCTAAATTGGATTGGATTGTACTTTTGGGTTGGGTTGTTTATTGTGTGCGCTGTGCGGCTGTATTATGTGCAAGTACAAATGTTGGCTCGGCGCTCTGTATCACTGTAATATTAAAGGACCTGAATTAAGATCAGAAACGAAAAAAAAAGGGGGCATTCCTACTTTCCCCTATATATTTTTACTAATCTTGTTCATAACATGTTTGTTGTCTTTAGATGCTTTCTCAGTTCAAGCTCATTGTCTGCTGACCTAGGGCTTCTAGTCTGGCACCTTAAACATGGTTTGTGGGTGCCTAGTCTGGCACCTTAAACATGGTTTGTGGGTGCCTGGTCTGGCACCTTACACATGGTTTGTGCTCCTGTCCTGTCCAGGTTGGGACCATTCGCTACATGGCCCCAGAGGTACTGGAGGGGGCAGTGAACCTAAGGGACTGTGAGTCTGCCCTAAAGCAGGTGGATATGTACGCCATCGGCCTGATCTACTGGGAAACCTTCATGCGCTGTACAGACCTCTTCCCAGGTGAGATCTAGGACTCTTTGTATTGCATACATACATCCAGGGCCTGAGAGAAATCTGCTGGCTAAGCAGAATGGCTGCAGCACATTGTATGACCCAATTTCTGTGCACTTGTGTAATGCACTACGTTCTATTCCTTACCTTCATTAGTGAGTGAGGATTATGACAGTACTACTCTATGCCAGTGGTTTACAACAACAGCCTTGGCAATCTCCTGTCAACACTTACTATTTAATCAGCTGTGTCTGTGAACTGGATTTAAAATGGTGCAGGACAGTGCAGTGGAGCTAGCCCAAACCTACTGTCTTATATACTCAGCTTCATGATACGCTCATGCATTTGGTCTATTAGTTTGTTCCACTAATTAGGGAGACAATGCAGCCTTTCAGTGAACTATTTGTATTTGTGTACAGTGTTGTAACCAGTTGTGTTTGTCTGCAGGGGAGACCGTACCAGAGTACCAGATGGCTTTCCAAGCAGAGGCAGGGAACCACCCATCCTTCGAGGATATGCAGGTGCTGGTGTCCCGAGAAAAACAGAGACCAAAGTTCCCCGAGGCCTGGAAGGAGAACAGCCTGGTAAGAGGTGCTCCTGTAACAGGGATGGGCAACCTAATTTCTGGCGCCCTGCTGTGTTGCAGGTATTTGCAGCATTTCAGTGTGTGAATTGATTACTAATTGATTCCTTTCAGCAGCAAAGTTAAGAATGCCCATAGCTGAACATTTAAAAGCTTTTGCGGCTGAGGTATGAGACCTATAGGAATTATACTTCCTGTATGTGTTCTTTGAAATTAGCATGATTTTTCTGTATACGTGGGTTTGCATACATATATACATTTTATGGTGTGGGAGGTGGTGCTGGGGAGCAGTTGGATGATTTTTTTTATTTTATTTATTTTTTTAAACTGTCTTACTCTGTCTTTGTCTTAGGCTGTGCGTTCTTTGAAGGAGACGATGGAGGACTGTTGGGATCAGGATGCAGAGGCTCGTCTGACAGCTCAGTGTGCAGAGGAGCGCATGGCAGAACTGCTCCTTATATGGGACAGGAACAAATCTGTCAGCCCTACAGTCAACCCTATGAGCACAGCACTTCAGAATGAGAGGTCTGCTTACAAAATGCACACTCGGTCATTAGAGCTTTCTGTTTGACCTCACACAAACACCACAAACCCTAGTTTAGTCTAGTCAAGCTGCACAGTTCTTGGGACAGGTTTCTGAGAACACTGCATGCTAGTGCCATTTCACAGTGCGAAAGCTGAAGTGATATTCAGGCACTGTATCTGTACTAATTAGTATAATGTGTACTTTTTAGCTTATTGCTATCCTATAGTTAATTTAAATGATATATTTAGCTGATAAATGGTTTAATTGTTTTTCTTTTGTTGTATCCGTTGCTATAGCTGTGAATATCAGTGAATTAAATGTCGTAATCTGAATACGTTGAATGTATTGTACATTACTTTTATTCTCTCTTTCATTTTAACTGGCTTTCTTTTTCCCATTGTAGGAATCTCACCCACAGTCGCAGGGTTCCAAAGATGGGGCCTTACCCTGACTACTCCTCCTCGTCTTATATCGAGGATCACGAGGGCATGGTGAAGAACCTTCCTGGAGATGTGTCCACCTCAGGCACGTCCTCAGTGAGTGGCATGGGTGTGAGCGGCATCAGCACAGGCACAGGGGGCGCTGGAGAGAAGAACAGGAACTCGATAAACTATGAGAGACAACAGGCCCAAGCCCAGGCCAGGCTCCCAAGCCCAGAGACCAGTGGAGCCAGTCTCTCCACAACCACCACCACCGCAGGCCTCACCCCCAGCACAGTCATGACCACCATCTCTGAGCTGGGCCACTCTGAGGAGGCTGGTGCTGGGGGCAGTGTTCCTGTGTGCCTGCAGCTGACTGAGGAAGACCTGGAGACCACAAAACTGGACCCTAAGGAGGTGGACAAGAACCTGAAGGAGAGTTCTGATGAGAATCTGATGGAGCATTCACAGAAACAGTTCAGCGCTCCTGACCCACTCAGTTCAGGCAGCTCCAGTCTGCTCTACCCCTTCATAAAGCTGGCAGCAGAGGTGACTGGAGGGGCTGGAGGTGGGACACAGGCAGAGTTCGGAGCAGGCAGCAGCGGAATGGGCGATGCCCCGCCAGCCATGTTCCCTCTTCCTAAGCAGCAGAACCTCCCTAAGCGCCCCACCAGTCTGCCTCTCAACACGAAAAACCCCAGCAAGGAGTCCTCCTCCTCTCGACTGAAGTTCGGTAAGCACAAGTCTAATCTGAAGCAGGTGGAGACAGGTGTGGCCAAGATGAACACAGTAGCAGCTGTGGAGCCTCATCTGGTCACTCTTACCAACAACGGCCCCGCGGTACGGAGCGGAGTGGGAGTTGTGGTAGTTAACGGCTACGTTAACAGCTCCTCTGGCCCATTTGGGACCACAAACCCAGCCGGGCCACAGGGTGAGGGAGGGGCACCACTTCTTCAGAGCCAGCTTAGCGGAGAGGACAGCCGCCTCAACATCAACATCAACTCTAGCCCTGACGAGCATGAGCCGCTGCTGAGGAGAGAGCAACCTGCTGCTCGCGACCACACGGGCCGCACAAACTCCAACAACAACAACAGTAACATCCGCACTTCTGCTCCTATTGCGCCTACTCGTCCTGCTGCTGCTGTTCTACCCACAGAGCCACCAGCCCAGCCCTCAGTGCCACAGGTAAAGGAAGAAGTTCCTTTGAGACAGCCCAAGCCCAGGAGACCTGAGCGACCCAACTCACTGGACCTGTCATCCACTTCGCAGGACTCCTCTCTGTCCGGTAAGCTCTTCTCATATGTCTTTCTGTCGTCATATTGTATCTTGTCAGTCCCTACTTTGCATTCTCAACCTCTGCTGCCTTGCATATGATTTCAGAATGTAAAAGTGGTTTGAATATTTAAAGGTATGTCTCCATCATACTAAAATAGGCTTAATAAAACACTAAAACTGTTGTAATCACAAATCTGTACTTATTTCTTATTACTTGTGAATGTTAACATCTACAAGTTCAGTGTAGATTCCTAAAAATGTTCAGTGTAGATTGTGTGGCCTGTGTGTGTAAATTCATTTTCTAAAATGTGTTTAAAATGGATTTTCATATTGAATCACTGAAAATTCCTAATTTTATGTTGTTTGAAGTCACTAAAATAGCGTATCTTTCCACTGCAGCCAGATAGATAAATCCAGTTTGAAAATAATAAACAAATTCTTTATTTAAAACAGTATATGCTTAAAAAAAATTGATGCTCAAACCCCAAGCCAAATCCTTTAGAAACATGGAAGCATGCCTCACGCTTATCTCCATTTCTCTCACTTTCTCTTCCCTCTGTATCTTTTCCCCCTGCCTTTATCCTCTGTTCTCACTCTCTCGCTTTCTTTCTCCTCTCTTCTCGCCTCTCTGTCTCTCACCCTGGTGCATTTGTGCATTCCTTTTGGCTGATAATGGTCTCTGAGCGTTCCCCTATGGCTGAATCACGCTTGGACCTTTATCTGTGTGGAGACAGGCTCAGACGCACCCTGGCTATTCCAATCCCCTGGAGCAGGGCGGGAGCCTAGAATGCGTGTCAGCATCCCCACAAACAAAAACCTCTCCAAATGGATGGCAGACTGTGTGTTTGTGCACTGCGTGTCCTGCTCTCTCCAGCCAATTAACACTACCACTTCATGAAATGAGGGAGACAGGCTGGGCTGCTGGTCTTTCCCTCGATTGCTTTGCGCATTTGGTTGTGGAGAGGGAAGGAAATTCCTCCGAGCTGATAAGGATCCACAGAACGTTCGGCCTCAGTTGGAGACAGTGATAAGGGATGATGCATGTAAGGAGATGGGAGTGCCTTGATGGGCCAACTTTGGTTAAGGAACGAAAACAACACAGGAAAATGAGAAAATGACACGTTACATTTGATAGCATTAGTTATAGTGGTGCTCCCAGCCTTGTGCCAAAGATCAGAACAGTAAGAACTAGGGATTTAGGCTGGTGTGGACTTCTGTGGGGAAAGGTCACACACAAACCTCAGGCTGTTGTAATACTACAATTTGGGTGCTCCAAAGGGAGGGAAGCTGTGTTGATTTTAGCTTCGCCATTGTGAAATCAGTATTCCCACAGTGGAGTTGCAACACTGTTTATGTTTCATATGTAGTACTTTAACCATGTACAATCTAGGGCTGCACGATAAATTGGATTATTATTATCATCACATTATGAGTTTCCCCAATAAACACATCTTTAAGAGCTGCAATGACAGAACAGATCAAATTACCTCATACATGCAGCACCAGAAAATCTTAATGAAGGCATCTCTGTGCTTGAATTGGACCCTACTGTCCCATGTGGGGGACGAAAAACTTAACCGGCTAAACGGGCAATTACAGAACTCCCATGTGCATAGCTCAAAAACTACTCCATCTTCAACTACAAACATTACAATTGCTTTCACACCCACTATTGTGTTTCAAGTGTGCAAGGCAGTAATGATTAGTGTCATAACAAACATTTTTAATAACTAAACAAAAATAAATAAATAATCAATTATTGATAATTATGAATTATTATTATATATTATTATAATTATAATATTAATTTGTTCTTTTGTGCCAATATAAATATATGTACAAATGTGTAATAAAATATGTGTAAAATACATATAAATATATGTAATGTACTTGCATCACATCCAGTCGGAGGTGCAATATTTTAATAATAATTTATTGCTTCTCATGTCTTCATATCCGACAGCTTTATCGAACATCATATTTTGTGTCAGTATTGTACAGCCCCAGTACAAACATGCATTCTCCCCAATACTGCTGTCAGAATCAAAATTTCTGTGCAAGGACCATGTCTTTTGTGCATACACAAAAAATACAGAATACAAATTATACAAATAAACACCAAGACACAGCCAAAATCAGCAAATAAACACAAAGGCACATCACATCTTTACATGTATGAAAACAAAGTGAATTTTACAGCAATATAGATGTGATGTGCTATGTCTGTAGTTGGGTATTACAATATACATATCCACATTATGTAAAGTATCTATATTGACTAACTATACAGTCAGGGTATTTACAAGATGGATCAGGTTGGATATGACTATCAGGCACAAATGTGCAAAGTGTTGTGCAAGATCTGCAAAATATACAAGTATCTGTCAAGAGTCCTGCAAAAAGTGCAAATATACAGAAATAAATTTCTCAGTTTAGATAACTTAAACCCAAAGTCAAGCCTGTCCAATAGACGATGAGCTGAGGAGCATTTCTATTGGGAAATTCTCAGGTTTGGCCTTAAGTTAGCTGGGTATACCCTCCAGGTACTCACCCTCTGCTGAATAATATGCAGTTACATTCTTGAACCAGGTGGGGGTGTAATTTATCAACATATTGATAATTTTGCAGTTTTACCAGGTGGTAATGGATGGATCTGTACTTTAGATGTTAATCTTACTCTCTTTCTCTCTCCGCTGCCATACAGGTGAGGGCTCGTCTCAGGAGGGAAAAGCCGGATCAGGTGAGAAGATAAAGAAACGTGTGAAAACGCCTTACTCTTTGAAGCGGTGGCGCCCCTCTACATGGGTCATCTCCACGGATACGCTGGATGGAGAGGTGAACAACAATGGGGCAGGTGGAAGACAGGGTGCATCGGGTGCCACCCGCTCCAAATCCAGCACTGCTGTGTTCCTGGTGGGAGGAGGAACTGCCACCGCCACCCTCTCCTCTGACCCACCTGGCATGACCTGCCTGTGAACTCTGCCCATTGAACCCTGCTGAGAAAGGGCCAAGATCAGCTTGTTGATACTGGAGGGTTTGGCAGCATGTTATTTGTTTCCCAAGATCCTATTTGACATCCAGTAAGAGAAAGTTTAAGGGGAGAGAAAGAGAGAGAGAAAAGAAACCGTTTTGGGAACGCAGACTCTCAGACGTAATTTGCAAGCACTTAACATCGTAATATGGAACTTCTCCGACTTTCTTTGAAGAAATTGCTTTAAACCGTACCCAGCTATGCAGCAACATTGGCTTAAAATGCTTCCATTATTTTTGTTGTTCCATTTTAAATCAAAGTATGATTGTATGTATGGTCGTTGGATAATTACTTTCTTTTATTTGTTGCACTTTTTTTATAAGTAATCTTAATCACACAGTTAAATCTGTTTCCTCTGACCATGTGTAAGGCTGGTCTTAAAACTAAAAAAAAGAAAGAATATGACAATGTGTTGATTTAACAATCATGCTAGACTGCGTTTATGGACACGAACGAAATCTAGTCCATATAAAAAAGTCAATAGTAAAAGCAGTGGTCTCTAAGACACAGTTGACTGCAGTCAAATCTGTTTAGAGGTTTTTATACATAGTACATTCATACGTTATGTTTTTGTTGTATGTAATATCTGTGTATCCCCCATTTTTGTATTACATTTTGAAATGTGCAATAGGCTTTAGCTTTGAGGTGCTCTTTAAGACTTACGTTCTATATTTTTGCAGCATTTTTTTAATAATATTGTTAACTATATGGTGCACTTACCAGCAACCTTGTGTTTATACATGCACCCCAGTTTGCATCTTATGGATGACAATCCTTTACCTTCTTATCAATCCCATCAAACCTGAGAAGGAGAAGCAAACAATCAAAAAAATGGGGTGTCTGTTTGTGTTCTTTGTTTTTATCTTTACTTCAAATGTTGGAAGTGCACAGGAGATGGTTGAAAGCTTGCAAGCTCGAAGGACAGAAGATTTTCAGTTCTGTTACAGTCTGAGTCAAGCTCCAGCTCAGTCTGGTCTCTGGAATAAAGTTCTCCCTTCTCAGCAGACACTAAAGTATATACATGTACCCCACTCGTTCACATGGTCCGTTTTGCGGAGGGGCGGACTGGTCCTCCGCACGTGCGCCGTGGAACGACTGGTGTCTGTGTGGGGAGCGAGTATGTGTCTACGGCAACAGTCTAACGCATCGCTCTCTCTGTCTGTATCTGCGTAAAGGTATGTGTAAGAGTGCCTGAGCAGTTGTGGCATTCGATTTCGCACTTCTGCTGAAAGCTCTCTGCTTTACTCAGCTCCCCGGAGCACAGGTATGCAAGAGAGTGGACAAGTCAAGTGGCTTAGGTCAAGTTGCTCTCTGCATTCCACTGTCACAGTTAGCACAGTCAACACGACGTACATAGTTCAAATGTAATTTATATGTATTGTTACACTACATACAGCTGGAAGTTAATGTATACATTACTGTGCATTATTACAGCTACTTCAGTTCTTTCTTTTTCCAACCTCTGTTTATGAAAACTGTAATGAAATGACAGTCTTGTATAATGAGAAATTGTGATTATGCTCATATGTATCAGACTTCAGAGTAAGAGTACTGAGCGTTAGTACTTACCTTTCATTTTCTTATGAGTACAATCATATTGACAAAGGGAAACTGACTCTAGATCAGCGCTCTTAGCCTCGTAGGCTGATACATATGCGTCCTGAGGTCTTTTTTAGCTGTTACTCCTCAGTTGCTAGTTTTTGTTTTAGCTATTTTTATTTTCCTTTTTTTTTACGTAGTGCCAAGGGCCAAACCTCAAATCTGTATGTTAAGATTGTGTCTGAAGCAAGGCTGTTATTTTTATTATTATTCTAATGAAATCTGTGAGATGTTTATAACCATGTATAACTGTCATACTTGCATTTTATTTTTCTCTGTAATGTCCCTTTTAAGTTTATTGGCAGTTTAAGGGTTGCGCTGTCATCCATCACGTTGGGTTTTCCCTCATCTTGATGCAATTCAGTCCTTCATGTGTAAGAGCAGTTTGAACAAAGGTTGCTGTCATGCCTGCAAAACCAAACAAAATTTATCAGTGCCACTAGAATCATAATCAGACATAATTATTGTGTTTTAAACGTTGCATCCCATTGTTTTAATCACCCTCATTCTAAACTGACTTTTGAGGGCAGTTGATGCGTCTACCAGCTAAATTTCTTCCCTTGCCACAATTACTGCCTCTGGAGTCGGATGCATTCTGCAGACGGTTTGAAAGCTGCAGAACTGCTGTGAGCTTCAGACTTGAGCCATTCAAATAATTACATATTGATGCTCCGTTCTGGAAAACCGTGTGATGCTGCAAGGCAAAGCTTTCCCAAATAGAGACTAATGTAAAATTCTCTCTCCAAGCATACTGTATCCATCGTAAATTACAGTAAAGTTCTTAGTAATGAGGAAACAGTAAACCACTTACAATGTGCCAAGTCCGCTTTGGACTAGGCTCTCTATGGAAGTGGTGAGAAAACTGTTCTAGCTAACGACTGAAAATGAGAAATCTTTTGCATTTCCTCGTATCTAAATTGTTGATGTGAAAATCGTCCTTTTCTTTGTGTGTGTGTAATATAGGCTCACCGATGTGGTGTAAATATATCTGTATATAGTGCAGTTGCCTGCGCATATACAGAAGACTCAACTGTTGCTGTGGGACCAAGAGATAATGCTACAACACTGTGATTATTTATCTCTAGATAAAATAGCACAGTAATGCAAGCCAGATCGGAATTACATGTTATGTACATGTTGTTCATCTCTGGAGCCAAACGAGTGAAAAATGTAAAGAAATATGATGCTTATTACCCCTATACAAGATAAAGTAGTACCTCCACATGTTTAAGAATTCTCAGTGTTCCCAGCTCTCTGTGTTTTCCCATTGACTAGATGTTTGATTTCAAAATGAAGATGAATATTGGAGAGGAATATTGGCACAGAATTTAAGTTTGCTCGGTGAATCAATCCTCTGGGCTACATAATAATTTTGTCAATCTTTACACTAGTGACCACCTCTACATTTTCTATAAACCCCTCTACAGTACTGAATAGACTGAAGCTCTATGGGCAGATGTCCTGGACTCAGATTAAGTTTATTATGTTTAGTGCTTTATTGGATTTTAAATGGAAATTCAGCATTGCCAGACTGATTCAGTTCAGGACTAGGCTAATCTGTGTGTGGAACACTTTCCTTCTATCCCTTTAATGCCAGCCATCGAGCTCTGGGCTGTACTCTAGAGTAAACATGGCAGCTTTTGGTTATGAGGCTGTCACATGGCTTGAACTCAACCTTGCTTGTAAAGACTGATTGAGGTGAAAGTAGGCCACGTTGCTAGTTTTCTAACAAAATCATGTCTGTTGAACTACACCCACTCATATCATATAAATATAAAGCTTAATATGCAATTCAGTAATATAAATCTAAATATGCATTTCAAACGGCCCCGAAACTGCCAGTTCCACTAAACGCAAAAGGAATGCAAGTTGATTCATAAATCCCAAAACCACTGCACCTCTTTTCAAATCCAGGCATGCACATAAATGTCCAAGTTTAACTGGGCGAGCGGTATGTCATCTTAAAATCCTCAAGAAGCTAGAAGAGTAGTTGATTTTCTTTTGTATGTCTATGTGTGAATGTGAATGAAAGGTATTTGTTCATGATGGGCTGCTGTTTTTTCTTTTTTTTTTCTTTCAATCTGTTAAATTCATACTGACGCTGAAGGCTCCATTCAGATCTGTGGCCCCTGCATAGAGTGTTGCTCAAAAAAGCCACTGAAATGTTTTCTATTACAGCTTGTAAAGTAAGCGCTTTGAGAAAAAGAACAAATGATAACTCTACTCAGTTTAGTCTACTCAGAAAGATATATGTTTAAATGCCATTTAGAAATAAAGCTTGCTGTACAACCCTGCATTACTCAGTTGATTAAAGATTATATTAATGAAGTGATGGCTCTTGTTGATTCTTTTGCACTGAGAAGTAAATAAAATAAAATAAAATGTACCATATACACTGGATGTCCAAAAGTATCCAGACAGCCCCTCTAATCGGTGCATTAAGATACTTTAAGGTGCACCCCTTGCTGATAAAGGTGTTTAGCTGCACACACCAGTTGAATAATCTCCGTAGAAGAGCACTGACAATAAAATGGAGCAGCTACACGATATATATATATATATATATATATATATATATATATATATATATATATATATATATATATATAAGATCAGTAATGGTATTATGATGGGTTGATATCACAGAGTTCTATTTGTTTAATAAGTGTTTTGAGACTGATTCTAGATACATTTGATGGTTTCATAATGGGATCTAAAGGTGTTCTACAGAAAAGTAGTAATCTCTAATGTAATACAATCTAATAATAATCATTAAGTCAATTCCCATTAGATAGCAAAATCGTCAGGTTTTAGTTGTATTTTAATTTAATTGACCCTAATGGTCTTTTTCAGCAGTGATTTCCAAATCTCTCAATTTAACAAACCCATGCAGTGGCTGGAGAAGTCAGGAACAAAACTTGTGTTTTTCTAACTGTGTATTCTTCCAGCCAAGATATCAGTATCTTTCCTAAAAACAAACAAAAAAAAATCTTGTTACTTTTTACTGTATTTTGTTTACATGTATTTATTCGAATGTTATACAGTGGATTTACTGGCAAAAAAAAAACAACAAAAAAAAAAAACAAAACAAGTACTGCCGAGATTATTACTTTTAAACAATTCTCATTACTGTCTTAGTACTTTTCCACAGTGCTGCATGTATATGAACTTCATTTAAATGCAAGAGGTGCAGTTTTCATTAACTGGCCACACGAGGGTGTTAAAGCAACATTGTCGATGCCAGAAGCACGTGTTGACCACAACAAAGCGATTTCCCCATTTCCAAATTTCCAATGGAGGTGAAACCATCGTGTTTAAAATGAGCGCCCACCGAGGAGTCGCAAAGGGGACACGCCAAAAACACATCAGAACCTGCTCCGGTCTCACAGTCGCACGTTTGGGATGAACGTTTTTCTGTTTCCTTTTTTCTGTTCACATTTAGAAAATATCAACAAGCGACATTTTCTACACTGATAATGAAACACAGTCTTACAGCCGACACGCAGCGTTAACGCTGTTATTTTAAATGTTTTTGGAAAAGATCTAGTAATTTTAAGGAATTAAAAGGATCCACTTCACAGCCAATAAGAAGTTGCCGTGGCTCACACACTGGCCAATCAGAGACAGGGGGCGGAGCTCTGGCAGCACTTCTCAGTGCGTGGCTCTGAATTTTTGTCCCGTTTACTTTTCAGCTTGTAAAAACGGCTCGGGCGGCGGAGCGGAGCGGCCACGGAGACTTAACCGGGCCGTATGGAGTGACCAGACGAGGACCCCTTTCCCCCTACACAAAAAACCTCACACAACATACCTCAGCGTATGTTTATACCCTCTGGTTTCTCTTTTTGGCTCCCATTTTGGTAGTTTGACCAAGCTTTGGGGCCAGCCACCGTCGTCGTCATGTCCCAACGGCTTCGGAAAAACGGTTCTCCGACGTCGAGCTGCGCTGTAAGCGGGGGATCCGCGGCTGGAGCCTCGGGAATAAGCGCTGGGGTCAGTTTACTAACTCGCCTGCTGCCCATGAAAGCCACCGTCCCGTTCCAGCTCAAGCCTCAGTCGCAGCAGCCGTTACAGCCCCAGCAGCTCCCCCTGGCGGCGAGGACGGTGCTGTCGGCGGCGGCTGCTGCAGGAGGCGGCGCCGGCTTGAAGTGCCTCAGCGGCGGCTGTGACTCTGCTGGATCCCGCTCAACTGCTAACCGAAGCCGGAGCCCCACAAGGGGCGCAGCTTTGAGCCCGTCCTCCTCTTCTTCTTCCTCCTCTTCCTCTTCTTCATCAACCCTCAGAAGTAGCCCCACTCTCGCTCCCTACGTGGCTGCATCCACTTCCCAGGTTAGATCCTCCCAGTCCCAGTCTGCGTGTGCACAGGTTAGCCTAGCTTCACCGCTGGCCAGCGTCATCAGCCCTCCTCACGGATCTTCTTGCCCTTTGGCCAGCGGCTCCCACTCTTTCTCCCAGCAGCAGTCCAGCTGCTTCACGGACACTGCAGTGCTGACTCCGCACCCACCGGCCTCTTCATCATCATCCTCTTCTTCGTCTTCCTCCTCTTCGTCTTGTGGTCACAGGGGTAAAGCTCAAGCGTCCCCACATCACTGCTGCCCGGATAATGACAGACTGTCCCCAGAGAGAATAAGCCCCAGCTCGCCTGTCTGCAAAGGTAACCTGCACCTGTCTGCTTACAGACTGTTAACATTAGTTTAAAGTGGAAATTCATTCATTCATTCATTCATTCATTCATTCGTCCAGTTTTCTTTGCATGAGTTGTTGCAGAGAGAGCAAAATAGAAAATTGCAGCTAGACGTGAATTCAGGTAACTGATTTCAAGGAACACTTGTTGACTCGAAATACATGTATAATAGAGGCCTATGGGCAGGTGCCGACCTGTTGGCTTCTATTATATGTTTTTTGAGTCAGCAGGATTTTCAGTTCTTTTTCAACCACAAGCAAATTGTTGTCCATGGTAATCAACCATATGTTATAGATGCATCAGATGGAAATCTGCAGTACCTGTTTAATGTATATATTAATTAATATACCTAATTTATACCCCCACCCGTGACCCAGAAGAATAAGTGGCTTAGAAAGAGTGTGTGTGTGTGTGTGTGTGCGCGCGCGCGCGCCTAATTAATATCGCTGCTGTCAGAACAAAACCTTGTATCTCCAAAATAGTAGCTTTACTGGAGAAGGAAAAAACTTACTTTACTTTCACTGTAAGTCAATGAAACCAGACTTCTTTCCAAGTCATTCTGGGCCATTTCTTTTGGTCCGTGCATTATGAAGTTTACACACAATGTAAAGGGCAACAGGCGTTTTCAAATTATGCCAAAAACTGAAAAAACTACAAAAATGGAGATACGAGGTTTTCTTCCGACTGCAGTGATATATATTAACTAATGTATGCTTGTAAGTGCTGCAGTAGCTGATGCTGTGATCACTTTCACTTTGGATTTTGCATGCAAATTCTACACAGCAAATTTTCCGACCCTCCAGTCTTGTATCCACCTGCCCTGCGGTTTTGTGTTTTCTGTGCTTACGCAGCTCATTCAGCTCAAAGGGACTTTATCATTAGCTGATAATGTGACTGAGGTGCAAGGAAAAGACCAAACCAGGCTAGAGTCTGCTGTAATAATTTCTTGATATTGCCTAGCCTCAATCTTCAACCATTCAAGCTACTTGACAAGTGAAATCGGGCCTCTTTATTATCATGCATGACAACTGAAGGAGAAGGCATTAACACGGTCATCAGGGCATCAGTTTAACGGACAGTGCCATTGTCATTTCCCATTCATTCTGTCTGGAGATGCTCCACAACCCCCCTCCTAGGGCTCCGTGGATTATCATCCTCCCCTGCTGTCCTGCCACTGTGCCCCATGTCACGTTTATAACTCATATTCTCTTTACTGGGGCTGCGGCGGGCACAAAGCGATTAGGCCTGAAAACTCCATCTGGTCTCATGGTCTGCTATAGGGGGAGGGGGGCAGAGAAACTTGAGAAAAGCATGAACCTGCTGATAGTGCACTCGGCAGTGCCATATTTTGTCTGCAAATGATACTTAACGTTCAGCTGGCGGTTTCTCAGACAGGCTGCTTTTTCATACAAATGCTGTGTGGGCACTGGGGCAGATAGTGAGAAGCCATTAGGATAGCTAGGCTCCCCACATGGCAAGAGAACAGAATGGCCTTGCTCAGTTTTGATTATACTGTAGTGGTGTGGTGTAGAGAGGAGGCCTCTATTAGTGAGTAATGTGAAAGTTTCTCTTAAAGGTTCCTCATGTGTCTAATGTGCTTGTTTCAAGACTGTGCTTAAACATTTTTTTCAGAAAGATTCTAAAAGGGGTTCTTTGGACAATACAGTAGAAGAACCGTTGAATAGATGGATATTAAAACATTCATTTTTGTAAATGAGCTGTGCGAGTCTGAAGAAACTCCACATAATGCAAATGTTCTATGCCCATGAAAGATATGTACAAACCAAGAACTGTTCAGGAACCTTTATTTAAAGAGTGTAGGTCAAGGAGTCTAACTTTTAGTGATCCCTTTCCCAACATTATCACGCATCATTTAGAACATTTTCTCTGGGAGGTTATCCATACAGTGCCAAATGTTTCAACGCCAATGAAGCAGCCGTTACTTTTTTCCCAAACGGTCTGAAGAAAATAAGGCTCAGCATGTAGAAGTCCTAAGGATTCAACATCTGCAGGCCTGGCTGTAAACATGGGAGCAGAACATGCAGGAGATTATTGTTAAACCAGCGTTCAGAGATTCAGGTAATTGGGGCCTGTAATGGAAGCAGACATGGTTGATCATGAGATTGTTCCAGCTGCAGAAGCAATACTGGCTCCTCGCTCTTTCAGGCCACAACTAGAAAGAGGGAAGAATATCTCTCTTATTTTTCATCGTAGCTAATCAACAGAAGCTCCTCATGCCTTTGATGCAGTTTTAGAGCACATAGCCTGCACCCATTGAAAGGCCTGCTGATTTCTGTTTTCAGTCCCTCCGGCTGCTTTCCCCCTCATCTCACCTTTTCCATTGTACTCCTCCGAACAATCTGCTCTTGTGCTTGGAAAGTCTAGTAATTTTCCAGATCAACAGGCTTGCTCAAGACCCTTTGAAGGCACTAGTATTTGAGGGAGAGGGAGAATGAGTGAAGGATGGAGAAAGGGGATGAAGACAAACAAGCCAGGCCTGAGAAATGGAGGAACACAGCTACATAAGGGCTTCCAAGCATGAAATCTGTTTTCACTGAACGTGTCCCACAAAAAAGTTAACAGTAATTGGAGAAAACTCTTGAAGGACATTTGTTAACTAGTTTGCAGCAGGCGTTATATACCTTAT